AAAAAAAAAAAAATTTATACATATTAGAAAAAAGATCTTGTTGACCCCAAAAATTTTCACCAAGCTCCCTGAGAGCAATGGCATTTGTCTAACTAAATAGCAGCATCAAACATGAAAATATATTTTTTAATTTAAATTATAAAATACTAATTATTAAATAATGAGTGCATTCGAATTGTGGAAAGGCCTTTCATCATCCAATGATATAAGGATACACTTTTTGATAAAACAATTGAGCACAATTATAAATTTCATAATTTTTTTCCCAACTATATTTATAATTCAGTAAGAGCTTGATAGTGTAATATTTTGACTTTAATTTCAAACTTGATCATTGAAATTAATCGCTCATTCCTTAAATATATAATTATAATATAATTACTTTGTTGAAAAAAAAAATTTCACAAAATTTTTAATCAAATTAAACACAACAATCTAAAATTCAAATCATAAAATTAAAATAAATAGTTTTTAACCAAACCAAGCTCAATAATGTAGATTTAAAAGACCAAACACTGATCACTGTGTTAAAGTAGTACTCGTACTTACTAAGCTTTATGTCTTTTTCTATACTTTATAGTCTTTGCAAGAGAGTTTCTTCTTACATCTGCCAAAGGTTTGATTGTCACAATACTCACAACCATGTGGTTTTAATAAGCTCCACAACAGTGGTGATTCAATTATTACACATAAGCCAAATTAAATGCCAGTTTAGAAATTGGAATATCTAACTATTGACCACTATCTTTTTCCCCTTCTGATAAAATGGAACAACACAGAAAACGAAATGTTTGGAATTGGATTTCTGCCCCATTTGTTTCTTTATGATGTTATAATAAATCGATATATACGTCCAACACTAAGTGGGTAGTGACCACTCTTCTTTGTTGTCAATATTAGGATATAATGTCTGAAATTCTATATCCAAATTTTCCTTCATCTCCAATATTCTCATGGTTAAAAAAAAAAAAATCTATATATACATGCAGCCATAACTCATAAGAAAGAATTGTGGGGAGAGAGAAGTTGAAAATGAGTGCTCTAACCCAGTAAATTAAAGAAACCAAAAATGAGAGAGGGAGAATTTCTATAGTTCTGTAGTCTGTCAGCTATAAATTAGATTAAAGAATATATATTAATAGAAAGAGTAAATATTTATTATATAAATTTTATCTATTATATTTATATAAAATTTTATTTTTTTATTTTTAATAATTAAAATTTATTTACATTTATTAAAAATAAAAATAATTATTATTTTTATTTAAAAAGTTATGAAAAATTTTAATTATTAAAAGTAAAGAGGTAAATAATCAAAATTATTTATAAATATAATGTATAAAATTTTTTTTATGCAAATGAAAATTACTTTTAAAAGTTAAAAACTTAGGAATCATGATATATCTGATATATAAAACAATCGGTCTTGATCAAAGGAGAAACGAGTCATACATAAATAAGGAACG